CCAAACTAATAAAAGCACATAATTAGAACAGCAGTAAGCAGCTATGATAATGATCCAAATTATATTGAGCATTCCTGACTGATTTGTTCTAAACTATAGCATGCAAAGAACAAGTTATAGGCTATTCCAATTTTTAAAAATTAAGTAATTATATCTACCTTATAGAAAAAAATCCTATGATTGACCTTGTCAGGAATAAGTCAGAATATTTTCTATGACTGTTTTCTTATTTGAGTGTTAATATTAAGAACTGGCAAAGTATAAAGGTGTATATGAAAAATTCCTCTGAAAAATTATGCTTATTTTTTTTTTGGAGGAAGATCAGCCCTGAGCTAACATCCATGCCAATCCTCCTCTTTTTGCTGAAGACAGGCCCTGAGCTGACATCTATTGCCAATCCTCCTCCTTTTTTTCCCTTTTTTCTTCCCAAAGCCCCAGTAGATAGTTGTATGTCATAGTTGCACATCCTTCTAGTTGCTGTATGTGGGACACCGCCTCAGCATGGCCGGACAAGTGGTGTGTTGGTGCGTGCCCGGGATCCGAACCCGGTCCGCCAGTAGCGGAGCGTGCACACTTAACCGCTAAGCCACGGGGCCGGCCCCCTATGCTTTGTTTTTTAATTTAGTAACTTGGGACTGTAATTACCTACCCCAGTTATATGTTCATTGGGACTGTAATTACCTACCCCAATTATATGTTCATATTTAATACAAATGGGTATGAATTCAGTACAAGAGATACTGGCAGTCACTGGTTGTGAATAGTAAGATTTCAGAGGCAATAATTAGGAAAGAGACAAAATATATCTAGAGTTGAGGTTTTCTAAAAAATAAGAGAAAATTATGAGCTCGAATTATTTTATTTTTAGCTTGAATACTACTAAAATTACCATATGAAACACATTATGTTTTTAAGCCTAATGCATAACTAAGATACAGGTTAATTACCTAGCAAAATTACATTTTTGTATATATATATATATGATTATATATTATAATTATAATGATCACTGTTATTTTAATGACTCATTTTACCCTTATTTCTGGTAAGAATGGATTTATGCTTTAATCAGGAAAAATTTCAGGAGAACACCACATTTAGGTTGTGAAGTAAAAAAGGACAGTATAAATGTATGTAGGTAGGTATGGTAATTTGGTTTATTCATAAGATCTACTCTGAGCATTTCATTATGTGGATAAGAGTGACAGGTAGGGATATATGGAGGCACGGGGGAGGGAGAGGAGCTATTTTCTTTGCCTAGTCCCCCCTTGCCTCCACTGATCCCACCCTGGTGCAAGATCCACAAGGCTAGAAAAGAACAGGGTATTCCAGTCAGTGATGAGGTCTATGCTTGCTAGCAAGTATATCATGGAGTTTTTAAAGGATTGTGCAAGTCAGAGGTTACCTATCATGTCGTGATCACAGTAGTATTGTTACTGTTTATTGTTAACTTTTCAATGTATGTCTTATCTACTTATCTAAGTTATCAGATATAAAGGATAAGATGTTAAACTTTGTAGTCTTCAAAATACCAAGCACAATCAAACCACACACACAAATTAACTATACATTCACAAAATGAGTGACTTTTGAATTTACAGACAGTAATTTCCAAAGCTATCATGAAATTTATCTGGGAATACATTAATAACCATGTTACCACATACATATAGGTCTAATTCATTCACTAAAACTGAAGTATAATAAACAAATGGGACTACATCAAAGTAAAAAGCTTTTGTACAGCAAAGGAAACCATTAACAAAATGAAAAGGCAACCTACTGAATGGGAGAAAATAATTGAAAATCATACAACTGATAAGGGGTTAATATCCAAAATATATAAAGAACTCATTCAACTCAATAGCAAAAAAACAAACAATCCGATTAAAAAATGGTCAGAGGATCTGAATAGATATTTTTCCAAAGAAGATATGTAGATGGCCAGCAGGTACATGAAAAGATACTCTACATCATTAATCATCAGGGAAATGCAAATCAAAACCACAATGAGATACCACCTCACACCTGTTAAAATGGCTATTATCAAAAAGACAAGAGATAACAAGTGTTGGAGAGGACGTGGAAAAAAGGAAACCCTTGTGCACTGTTGGTGGGGATGTAAATTGGTGCAGCCATTATGGAAAACAGTATGGAGGCTCTTCAAAAACGTAAAAATAGAACAACCCTGTGATCCAGCAATTTCACTTCTGGGTATATATCCAAAGAAAACAAAAACACTAACTTGAAAAGATATATGCACCTCCATGTCCATTGCAGCATTATTTATAATAGCCAAGACATAGAAACAGCCTAACTGTCCACTGATGGATGGATAAAGAAAATGTAGTATATGCACACAATGGAATATTATTCAGCCATAAAGAAGAATGAAATTTTGCCATTTGTGACAACATGGATGAACCTCGAGGGCATTATGGTAAGTGAAATAAGTCAGACAGAGGAAGACAAATACTGTATGATCTCACTTATATGTGGAATCTAAAAAAAAAAAACAAAAAACAAAAAATTGAGCTCATAGATACAGAGAATAGACTCGTGGTTGCCAGAGGAGTGAGTAGGGGGGAGTGAAATGGGTGAAGGGAATTGAACGGTACAAACTCCAGCTATAAAATAAACGTCATGAGGATGTAAAGTACAGCATGCTGACTATAGTTAATAATACTGTATTGCATATTTGAAAGTTTCTAAATGAGTAGATCTTAAAAGTTCTCATCATAAGAAAAATATTTGTAATTATATATGGTGACAGATGTTAACTAGATTTATTGTAGATCATTTCACAATATATACAAATATTCAATCATTATGTTGTATACCTGAAACTAATACAATGTTATATGCCAGTTATACCTCAATAAAAAAGGAAAAAAAATAATGAATGTAAAAGAGCTTTGTAAATTAGGAAGAACCAGGGGGCCGGCCCAGTGGCGCACCGGTTAAGTGCGTGCATTTGGCTTCGGCGGCCAGGGGTTCACAGGTTCGGATCCTGGGTGCGCACCGATGCACCGCTCATCAAGCCATGCTGTGGCGGCGTCCCATATAAAGTAGAGGAAGATGGGCACAGATGTTAGCCCAGGGCCAATCTTCCTCAGAAAAAAGAGGAGGATTGGCATTGGATGTTAGCTCAGGGCCGATCTTCCTCGCAAAAAAAAAAAAAACTAAATAAATTCGAAGAACCATTGTCAACTTAATTTATCAGCCACTTCTTGAGAAACTATCCCATAAAAGAAATGCCATATTGGGGGCTTGAGACTTTAACTGAATAATGTTCGGCCTCTGCTCATCAATAGAGATAATACACACTGTAGTTACATTTCTGTAGACCTTTAATATATTTCTTCAGCCATTAGACTTCCCCCTGCCTCACACTTCATGCTCCTTCAGGTTTCCATGAAATTTCTTACCTTTGTACTTGTGCTAAAACTGTTCTTTGCCAATATGTACTTGGCTAATCTGGCAAAACTCTACTCATCTTCTAAGAATTAGTTCGGGTATCACCTGTACACTATAGTGGTTTGAACTTACCTTTTACTTTTTCTTTTTTTAAGACAGAAAAATTGGAAAAATACAAAGAATAGCATAGTAAATACCAATGTACCCAACACCCAGAATTACACATTTTCAGACTTATATTTTGCCATCTTTGCTTCATATATTTACATGTTTTAAACTTTCTTATTGTGAAAATTTTAAAACATACAAAAGTAGATAGGAGAGTACAACAAACTCCCATGGATCTATTATCCAGTTTTAACATTTATCACCACATGGCCAACCTTCTTTCATCTATTACCTATTCTACTCCCAACTCCACTGTTTTATTTTAAAGCAAATCCTTGAGATACCATTTCATACATAATACTTTAACATGTACCTTTAAAAGATAAGGACTTTGTAAAAAAAGATAAAAACATGCCAACACTTAAATTATTAATAATAATAACTTTTAAATATTATCAAATATTTTGTTCAAATTTCTCCCATTGTCTCAAATTATTTTGCATTTGGTTTGCTTATATCAGAATGCTTCATATAAAATATCAATAAAATAATAAATAGAACACTGAAGATGAGGTTTAAATCTCCTTTTTTACTCTTCCTCGTCACATTCCCCTCTTCCTTCCTTCCCTAGTGGCAACTAATATCATTAATTAGTTATATATCTTTCCAATCCAGAGTAGATTGCTATATACGTATCTATGAACAATAAACAGTTTGGCTTTGGATGTTTTTAAAAATACGCACAAAAGCTATTATAATACTTACTCTCTTGTGATTTTTAAACTGATTATTACATCATTGGTTTATACTCTTTCATTTTTACAACTGTTTATTTGTGGTTTTCTCTTTTATTCTTGGTGAGTATAGCTAGAAGTTTCTCTATTGTGTCTTTTAAAAGAACCGACTTTAGGTTTTGCTATTCTCTATTTTTTTGTTTTACTATTTCACTAATTTCTGTTTTTAATTTTATTTTCATATTTTATCGAATATAAAATACTGTAAATTGTAAAACAAGCCATTATTTTATGTGCCACTAGGAAAAAAATACAGTGCCAATTAAATCATGATGTACAATTCATTTTGGAATGTGTGTCCCAATTTCAGGGATGTTAAAATATGCAAAAATGGATATCTTGGGATTGATGACATATACAATTTCCTTCCATCTGGTTCATTTGGGTTTACTTTTTTCCCTTAGGTTCTATTAATTTATTGAGACTTGTTTTACAGACACAATATGGTCTATCTTGGTAAATTTTCCATGTGTACTTGAAAAGAATATATATTCTGCCATTGTTAGGTAGAGTGTTCTATAAATAACAATTAGGTCAAATTGGTTAATAGTGTTGTTAATGTCTTCTACATCCTTATTGATTTTCTGTCTAGTTTTTCCTATCAATTGTTGAAAAAAAGGTATTGAAGTCTTCAACTATAATTGTGAATTTGTCTATCTCTACTTTCAATTCAATCAGTTTTCATGTACTTTGAAACTTTGTTGTTAGGTGCCTACACATTTAGGATTGTTATTTTTTTTGGAGAATTGTATATAATGTAATATTTGTCTTTATTCCTTGTTCTGAAATTTACTTTGATATAAGTATAGCTACTCCAGCTTTCTTTTGCATGCTATATATTTTTCCATCTTTTATCTTCTGTCTTTAAATTTAAAGTGGGTTTCTTTTAAATGGTATATAGTTGAGTCTTACTTTTATGCAGTATGATAATCTCTGCTTTTTTTCCTTTTCAGTGAGGAAGATTGGCCCTGAGCTAACATCTGCTGTCAATCTTCCTCTTTTTGCTTGAGGAAGATTGTCCCTGAGCTAACATCTGTGCCAACCTTCTTCTATTTTTTTTTGTATGTGGCACGTCAACACAGTGTGGCTTGATGAGCAGTGTGTAGGCCCGCACCTGGGATTCGAACCTGTGAACTCTGAGCCACTGAAGTGGAGCATGCAAACTTAACCATTGCGCCACCAGGCTGGTCCCTAATCTCTGCTTTTTTATTGGGGTGTCTATACTATTTAATGTAATTAATAAAGATGGGGCTTAAATTTGCTATTTTGCTATTTTTTTCTATTTGACTCATTTGTTCTTTGTTCCCCTTTTTCTCATCTTGCCTTCTCTTGGATCAAGCATTTTTTAGAATAATTCCATTTAGCTCTACCATTGAATTATTAGCTATGCTTTTTTTTTAGTGGTTGCTCTAGGGTTTATAACATACAACTTTAATTTATTACGGTCTTACATTCAAGTGATGTTATGTCATTATGCATATAGTGTAAGAACTTTACAACAGTATATTTTCACATTCCCTCCTATCTTTGTGCTATTGTTGTCATACATTTTACTTCTATATAAACTACAAACTGCACAATACATTTTTATTATTTATTTATTTATTGATTTATTTTTGTGAGGAAAATCAGCCCTGAGATAACATCCATGCCAATCCTCCTCTTTTGGCTGAGGAAGACTGGCCCTGGGCTAATATCTGTGCCTATCTTCCTCCACTTTATATGGGACTCCGCCACAGCATGGCCTGATAAGCGGTGCATCGGTGTGTACCCGGGATCTGAACCTGGGCCACCAGCAGTGGAGCATGCACACTTAACCACTACGCCACAGGGCTTGCCCCCATTTTTATTATTTTTGATCTAAAAGAGATTAAAATCGAGAAAATATATTTTATTCTACCCACACATTTACTATTTCTGGTGCTTTAGCTTCCTTTATTTGAATCAAAATTTCCATCTGGTATTATCATTTTTCTGCCTGAAGATCTTCCTTTGTCATTTTTCATTGTGTAGGTCTGGTGGTGATGAATTCTCTCAGCTTTTTTTGGTCTTTATTTTGTCTATTTTTAAAAGACATATTCACTGTGTATACAACTCTAGGTTTACAGGTTATTTTCTTTCCATTGTCTTTTGGATTACATATTTTCTGAAGAGAAATCTGTTGTTATGCCTGTCTTTGTTCCTCTGTATGTAATGTGTCTTTTTTTTCTTTTCCCTTTGGCTTCTTTTAAGATTTCTTTTATCATTGTTTTTCATCAGTATGTGTGTCCTTGTGTAATTAATAACTTTTCGTCTTCTTGTTCTATTACTTTAAGACAGGAGTATACTATGATTATATGTTTGTCAATTGCTACCTTTTAAATCTATTTACATTTTTGAGGTTATATTATTAGATGTATATACATTCATGGTTGTTATTATCTTCTTGGTAGAATGTCACTTTTATCATTCTATATTGTTCTCTTTGTCTTTACTTCCAGTTTTGGCCTTATTTTATCTCATATTAATATTGTCATACCACCTTTTCTTCATTTAGTATATGTCAGGTATATCTTTTGCCATTCCTTAACCTTTTTATATAATTTTACTTAAGTGTGTCTCTTATATGCAGCATATAATTAGATTAATTTTAAAAACTGATATCTGAAAGTTTAACATGTTTACATTTATTGGAATTATTTCAGTCATGTTATTTTGTGTTTTCTCTTAATCATGCTTTTTCTTTGCTTTTTTTCCCCTTTTCTGTGCCTTCCACTGGCCTGATCAAATTTTTATAATTCCTCTTTTTTTCCTGTGCTGTTTTCAAAGTTATGCCTTCTATACCTATTCTTTCAGCATGCTCTTAAAAATTTTTAACTTTCATGTTTAAATTTACAAAGTCCACTGTTCATCAGTTTCTACCATTCTCCATAAAGATACAATGAACTTAGAATGCTTTAATTCTCATCTTCCTTCCCATCTTAAAAATAGTATTTTAGTTTTACTTTGTTTCAAACCTCATTAAATTATTTATTACCATAGTTATTAATTTGTACTTACTGAGTTTATTTATATTTACCAGTATTTTACCAACTTCTTTGCTCACCATTTCTTCTTGCATTCTGCTACTTCCTTTTGGTTTCATTTTCCTTCTTTCAGAATTCTTTAGTAACTCATTCATTGAGACTCTATGAGTAATAACTCTCACAGTCTTTGAATATCTAAAAATATATTTATTTCACCTCACTCTTACAGTTTGTTTAGTTAGACATATAATTCTAGGTTGGAAAATTTTTCTTTCAACACTTTGAAGACATTATTCCATTGTCTAAGGCATCTATTATTGTTGATAAGAAATCTTCCAGTCTAATTATATTTCCTTTGTAAACAGATACGTGCATTCTCTCTGGTAGTTTTTAAGATATCTAATATCTCTGATGCTCTGCAGGTTCACTATGATATTTCCAGGTATAGATTTATTTAATTTTTCTGCTCAGGATTCACTGTGATCCTTCAATCTAATTATTCATATATATCTTTAATTTTGAAAAAGTACCTCTTCAGATATTGCTTCTTCCTGACTATCTCTATTCTGTCCTTTTGAAACTTATATTAGATACAAATTGGAACTTTTCACCCTATACTCCACGTCTCTCAACTCATCTTTTACCTTTCCAACCTCTTTACCAATCTCTGGTGTGATTTCCTCTGTATCTATCTTCCAACTGCACTAATTCTCTCTTCACTTGCATTTGCTTACTCTTCAACCCATCATATATATATCTTTTTCAAATATGCCAGCTCTTTTTCATATTGATCTATTCCTGACTTACAGTTCTATTCAATTCATTTAATTTTTAAAACACATATTTATTTTAAAGCCTGTTTCTGATTGGTCTAGTATTTCTAGTTCCGGGGGTATAACACATATTACATCTGATCACATTGCCTAAAGTAGTTCATTTCCTTGGGAAGTTTTTAAATTTTTAATCATGAATTGATTTTTGGTAGACGTTTTACATGGGAGTCCCAAACACCCTAGGTTATAAGAAGCCTCCCTTTAAGGTAGTTTCACACTTACCTTTGTCATGACCTTAGGGGTTTCACTGATTTCAGACCAGATATTAGTGTTAATTTTTTAGCTCAGAGTTCTCACCATTTCAGTAATATGAACTGTGACCATACCTCCATGCTGTATTGTCCTGGGATTCTAGTTTCTCTCAGATGACTTTTTCCTACCCATTGCCCAGGGGATATAGGAAGCTTCTTGATACTTCCCCACACTGATGGGCGTAATTTCTCTGGCCATTCATAATCTTCAAACTTTATATTAGTTCTACTTTACACGCAGGAGGCCTATGGTCTGGATTCTCCTTTCCATGTAGTTATTACTCCTCAGCCTGTAATCATCTAGGCCTATCTAGTTCTGAAATGCCCAAGAGCAGAGTTTTAGTTTTAGTTCCTACTCACTACTAAATTTAAATTCTTTTGTTTCTGGCACCTAGGGATTTTTCATTCTTGTTTTGAGCTTGGTTATATATTTACATTATAATGATTTTCCCCTTATTTTCTGTTTTATTTTTGGGGGTAGAGTGCAGACTCCAGGATCCTTTTGTGGGTTCTTAATCTGCAACCGACTAGAGGTCAATATAAAATAAGAATAACTCAAAAAGCAAGAAGGACATAAAGTGTTAAATGTCTAGTCCAGAGACATGACCCCTTATAAGATCTAATTTAAAATAAATCACTCTAAGGATACCCTACTACAACTAAACTGCATTATGAAATTGCTTCAGAAATAAACCCAAAATTCAAAAATGAACCCAAAATAAACCCAATAGCAAAGAAAGGAACTACAACTATTTTTAAGCTTTACCTATATTTACTGTCAAATAAAATTAAACTCCCTACTTAACTGTTCTTCTGATAATTAAAAATAGTGCATTTAAAGGGATATACTGTCAAAGAAACAGATTGATAAATGTAAGTTTGTTTATATTTACTTTCACTTTGGTGATGATATCAAATTTTTCTAAAGTTGTACCTAGACAGTACTTTTTGACAAGGACCTAAGCTAATTTAAATGAAAACCAGAAACAAAAATAACTAGCTATATATTTAGTTAAAGTACTTATATTATGCTAGCGGCAGGCATGACTCAAAAATGCAGAATCAAATCAAATAGTAATCTGTATATAATAGTGTTCCATAAAGATTTCATAAATAATAATAATAATAGTAATAAAACAAAGCAACATACGTTGGACAGTGCTTGGCATGCCTTGGTTATTTTGTGTTTGTGCAGAAGTTTCTGGCTGAGGTACAGGAACTCTACAAAAGATGAAAAAATGATAACCAATAGTTATAAAAAGAGACTTGAATGGAAAAAATTAATTGGTTCTATTCAAAATTTATTCTAATTCAATAAATTTAGAAAATATATAGGCTTAGTTTCTTAAAGTAATGCATTAAAAATTTAAAGAAATTACATTAAAATTATGAACAAATATCCATAAATAACATAATTCAAATACTGCAATAGATTTAAATGTTCTTGTAAGGAGTATTCCACAAAAGGAAGTATTCAACTTTATTAAATATCAACTAAAGATATACTTATTTCATTTGCTATGATAAGAATTTAAAAATTAGTTTAATGGCCTATTTTCATGTTTGCTTTGTTCAAATATTCTGGAGAACTATCCGGCCTAACTCATCAACCTCATTTCAGAGTTTTCTATAAGCCTCATGCTGCTTCAAACCTTCATGCTTTTCCTTCTCCCTGGAACAACTTTTATGTCTCCTTTCTTTTGCCTGGTTAACTGTTATTCATTCTTCAAAATTTAACACAGGCATTATTTCCTATAAGAAGCTATCCTTGATCACTAGTCAAGGCTCACTGCTTCTTGTATATGCTTTCATTGAAACATGAATATACTTCTATCATAGCATTCATCACACTGTATTGAAAATTACAGGTTTATCAATCTATCTCTTCCACCAGATTCTGCTATAAGCTCTACAAAAGTATGGACTTTATTTTATTTGTTTTTGTATCTCCAAATAATATCTGCTGAATAACTGTTTATTGAACTGAAATAAATGGAGGAAAAGGGAAGCATCTTATTTTGAAGCTGGGGAGAAGCCTGCCTTTATAAGGAAAGATTTCCATCTTATGGGCTTTTAGCATATTTCTGTGATGACTTTTTTCTGTGCTTGTATTTCCCAAACTAAAAGCATAAAGTAAAACAGAAATGTCATGTTTTAGAATGCCACATAATATTGCTCAACTTATTCTATCAATGGATTTGTCTCTTATAGTAGTATTCTTCATTTTACTAGTGAACTAAAAAGAAGTAACTTTCATGAAGGAAGAACGCATTCATTTAACTATAACACTCCAGCAAATAAAATGTATTTTAGAGCTGTAATTTTAATTTTTTTCAGAAATAAGTAAACTGAAAACATCAACTCTGAGAGAAATCTAAATAGCTAAAAAATAGTTAAATTATGTGTATTCTGAGATCCTTAAACAGCATGTATATACTTTTTATTATATGTAATAATAAAGTGATTTTTTTCTTCTGAAATAAATTAGAAGAAATAGTTTTCCAAACTCTAACAGCACCATTATATTGTACAGAATTTTTAAAAAGTGACTTAGGAGATTTTTATGGGAATATGTAATTATTCATTTGTATGACTTAAATGTCTTAAAGGTGAAAGGCTAAATGACAGAAGTAGAGGTACATAATGTCTATGGGTATTAACTGAAGAAATTGAAAAAAGAGAGACGACAAATGAAAAAATAAGACATATAGAAGGAAAGAAAGGAAAAAGAGGGCTAAAAGAAGAGAAGATGAAGATGCATATGGTGGGTAGTGCCAGAATATTATAAAAATTATGTCAGAGGCTATAAGTTATACTCTAACCTTCCCCATTACACCAACTTATTGACCTTAGATAAAAGTCATATAGATTCTATAGTATGCTGTTCCCTTATCTATATAACAGGATTATAATTAATATTATTGTAGTCTTATGTCTTAAATGCAGTGAAATTAAAAGTATTTAATATACATACATGCATATATAAACCCTATATTTCATTCTTTCTGAATCTCAGATTCATCATCTATAAAATTGAGGTAATTATCCTGTGCTTCCCTCACAGGGATGTTGAGGATCAAATGAGGTAATGTAAGTAATCTTGCATCATATATTGAAATGCTGTACACAATTAACTGAAGGAATATTTTCAGTGCTTTCTGCCTAAGAAAAGCATAAAACGCTAGACAAAAAGGACAAGAATATAAAGTTTTTTTGAGAAGTTGCTAATATA